GTGTGCGTGTTTGTGTGTGTGTGTGTGTGTGTGTGTGTGTGTGTGTGTGTGTGTGTGTGTGAGTGATTAACCAATGGGATTGGACAACCAATACAGGACCTTGAGCCTGGAGGAAACTGACTCTCCCTCTCTCAGCTCCCATTGGCCACCAGGAGCTCTTCATCAAGGGGTGGGAATTTCCCCGTGTATATTGTTATGCCAGTTAGTGTTATCATAAGTTGCTCTTATTTAGGCAATCGATATTGTTGAGAATTCATCAGTGTAATTTCCCGGTCAGATATAGAATAGACTTTCATATCAGAGTAGGTGTTCCTGGACTTCTGGATCTTGCAATCTTTCTGCTTCCTCTTCCCTTGCATGATTTTCCCTTAGTGTGTGCGTAGTTTTGGAGATGTATCAGTTGACACTGGGTACCATGCAATCTGCCTGGCTTTTATTTATTTGCTTGTTTGTTTAATTTATTTATTTATTCATTCTTCTCTCATACAATCCATCCCAACTACCAACTCCCCTCCCTCCACTCATCCCACTCTCCCCAAACACACATCTCCCCTCTCCCCCAGATGCACTGCTTCTCCACTTTCCTTCAGAAAAGAGCAGGCCTCCCAGGGATATCAATGCCCATGACATAATAAGATGCAATACAACTAAGCACAAACCCCCATATCAAGGCTGGATGCATCAACTAAGCAGGGCTCACAGGGGCTCACAGAGACTGAAGAGGCAATCATGGAGCCTGCATGGGCTGCGCTAGGTCCCCTGCATACAAGCTGTAATTGTTTAGCTTGGGGTTTTTGTGGGACTTGCTGCCTGGCTTTCTTAAAGGTCATTTCATAAGCAAATCTTGGGAACCCCAGCCTCTGAAGGGCCCTTGCTGGCGCATGCCTTTTCGGAGAAAATCAGATTTGTGTGTTTCATTAATCCCCCGTCAATCTGTGTCATGCTGCCTGCCCCCCTCACCACTTTGCAGGTTATAGCAATCAGGATCCGAGGATTTAGCATTTGCAGATAGAAATCAGGCATCCAGAGCCCTGCTGTGGATGAACAGATCCTCCCTATTTTCCAGTTGTGGAGCTCCAGGGAAACAAGACAGCTACTGTCTGCTAAGGCCTGATGCTTTCCCAGCCCAGGTGGAGAGGAAGAAACAGCCATAGAGGCCACAGACCTGGGAAGCTCATTCTCTCTGCCACCCAGTGGAGAGACCAGCTTCCTCTGTTCTAAACTGGACTTCCTGGGCAATGTCCCATTGCCTTCTCTGGATTTGCCTGGCTGTGTGGGAGGCAAGTGGGGATCTTCCATTTTTTGCCGAGAATGATGCCGTCCTAATGGTTAACTGGTAAGGAGATGTGGTGAGCGGGCCATGGGTCTATGGGAAGTGAAGTTTTTTGAACAAATATGTGTCTCCCTAGAGACTGGAGGGATGCTTTGAGATGTGCAGGCCGTGAGATGGTCTGGAGATTTCCTCAATGAGTAGTAACCTTGGAGACTGAGCTGCTGAATTACTATGATCATGGAAGCATCGTCTTGGGGAGGTTCCTGTCCAAACTCCAGTTGTGCGCTTGTGTATGAGGGGGTAGAGGTCTTTGGGCTGTGTAGACAGGGCATTGACATGCTGGAGGTAAACCAAAACCCATAGCTCGGTGAGGTTGCTACACATGCCCCTAAGACGTGTTTATCATGTCATAGGTCAGAGAGAGGGAAAAAATGGCTTCTTACAGGACATGAGCTGAAGTTCTAAACAACGCCTACCCATGTGGAGCTGGTGCGGGGCATGGGGGGTGCTTTTCCAATAGCCCTGGGCATTTGAGAGCAGGTAAGAGGTCAAGCAGACCTTCAAGAAGAAGAAACAGGGATAGATATGTCTAATAACAAGGTCTAGTTCCTTTGAAATGATCACATTTTGTTTCTCCATAACATCTGATGACAAGAAATGCCATTCAAAGTACAGTGGAACATAAAATTACTATCTTTTCAATTCTTCTTGTCTTTGTTTCCATATTGTTTACTTTGGAGTTACTAGCAACAAAATTGGGCAATGCGTTTAAAATGATGTCTTTGTAGAATGCAGGCTGGAATAGCTCCTCTGTTATGAAATTTTAAGGAACTGTATGAAGCTATTCCCAAAGGCAGCACCCTGTGTCAGGGCCCCAAATCCTGCCTCATACCTTTCCTTTCACTTCCATAAAACCAGATGGGAAATTCTACTTCCTTTTTCTGTGGTATGGTGCTCCCCTCTCAGGCTCTCTGTATCACTCAGGGATGCCCAGTGCACTGGGCTGTTGGTAGGTGGGACCCTGCCCTGGCAGGTACATGTGATACAAAGAAGAGCTTGCCCTTGGTGTCCTATGTGTATCTTGCCAGCTGCTTGACTATGAACAAGCAGTAAGCTAACCAAAGGCTTCTCTGAAGCTCACACCACGTTTCACAATCACAGCTTGATCTGTCTGCTTAAGAATTGTGTCTTTGGTTAAATGAGGAAAGAGGCCACATCCCATTTGCCAATACCACCACCTGGTGAAAGCTTAGGTGATGCCTGTCCTCAGCCAGGAGAGGTGTGACCATAGGACTTCAAGGTTGTGCAGGTCAAGTGCATGGTATTTCTTTGGCTAAGCTGGACTGCCCTACAGAAACAAGTTGCTATGTGTGTGATTGATGGCATCTGCCTCCTTCTTGCTACCACTTGTTGTCTACTGCTAGTGTGGTTTTCTGGATTCAACCACAGGATCTCTGAGCTGTTCAGAGAAGGAAATAGAGCAGTCAGCAGGAGGCAATCCCCTCTTTTCATGGAGACCACCTTGTTCCTCAGGAATGGGGAGGGAAATCATATAAGCAGATCACTGGGACTCCAAATAGGACCCACATTTACAGTGCAGATGCCATATGCACTACAACTGGACTCCAAATAGGACCCACATTTACAGTGCAGATGCCATATGCACTACAGATCAATGGCCTCTCCATTCCCAGGTCACTGCAGCTGGTGCCCCTTTGTCAAGCTGCAAGAGGGCCTACAAGAGTCTGAGTAGTTACATGAGGTCTGTACTCCTACAGAGTAGGACATGGAGTCAAGGAAGGTGGGGTGCCCCTCAGCCCTAGACAAGAAGTCAAGCATCTCTTACCTGTGCTGGTGCTGATGTTCTCGGTGCCTACTGTCTGCCCCATGAGGTGGTACTGGTTCAGTCTGGAACCATCTTCTGCCACAACCACAGACTTGGTGGAGCCATTGGTCCAAACATAGACAACTTCAGAATTGGGGTAAGCATCTGTAGGGAAAGGGGGGAGTGGTACAGAGTTGTTTCCACTGGGGAAACACAAAGATGCTGGTGAAAGAGGGATGGTGATGAGAATCAACCTGCAGGGTTAGAAAGCATGTAGGGTGGTACACCTGCACTGTGCAGTTCAAACCATTGCTATTTCAAAAGACCCGATGCTCCAAATATGTCACAGAGTAAGCCAGTTCTCATTTATTTTCTCTTTCCACCCATCAAAGAATAGAGTCAGCTCTGAGACAAATGCCTGACATCCCAGCAGATCTGTGACCCTGACAGGTCACCTATTCTGTGCCATAGTTACTTCCTCTGTGGGATGGGGTGAAGTCAGGACCAACAACTGACGTTTAGATGGCAGCCTGACTTACAAAGTGACACTTCACTATGACCCACCAATCTTATTCCTACCCCAAACCTTCCCTTTGTACTGGCCACAATGTCCAGGGGGGATGGCTGGGAGGGCAGACAGCAGCTCTGCCCAATGGTCATGCCTGACTACTTGTTACAACATGGCAAAAGATACTATGCAGATGAAATGAAAGCAATGGGATGGAAATCCAGAGATTATCCTCAGATTATCACTATGGCTGAGGGTCAGTCCAATCAAAAACAGCTTTCTCAACCAGGAGCCAGGAGTAGATTTGCAAATAAGTAAAAGACTCAGCTGGCTATTGGCTCTGGTGAAAGTGACTATAGCACCAAAAGGAGGGAATGAACCCTAGGTGGCAGTTGGCAAGGAGACAAGGACCTTTACCCACAGCCACATGGAACTAAATTCTGCCCCCACCTCAAAAACCTGCAGGCCTACTCAGACTGTCCTGAGAAAAATGCAGCCCTGCTAGCACGTGATACAGAGGGGGCAGAAAAATCTACCAGGTCCCATGGGCTTCTGCTTATAGAACTCCGGGGCAACACATGTATTATTTTAATCTGTAGAGTTGGTGATAGTTTGTCACATCAGCAGCAATAGAAACTTAGGACAGACTAGATAGAGAGCAAACACAAGTACCTCCCACAAGAAATTCATGCTCAGAGGAAAGAAAGATCTATGCTAGGAAAAGCATGCCATATGAGAAGTGGCAGGAAGTGCTGTGAAGGCAGGTCAGCGGAGAAGAAAGAAGAGGCATGTTATGGAATGAGACTGACCTTCATTTAGGGTATCTAAGGGATGTTCTTATCCCTTGGGATAGAGGAGGCTGCAGGCACCAAAGTCCTGAAGCAGGAGCAATCCATAGATGCCTAAAACAAGCTAGGAATATAATGAAGAGGGAGGGCTAAGAGAGTAGAGCCTTAGGGGCACTCTAAAGCATTGAACATTTTGTCTAATACTGGTAGACCCTGGAGAAAGGTTTAAAGCAAATATGTGGCCTACTCAAACATGGGAAATATCAAGATCTGTCAGCCTGAGTGAGACAACAGAAAACAGTAGGGAAAGGACAGAGAAGGACATCCAACAGTACAATCATCTTGTACAGCAGTGGGTGGAAGAAGAGAAATATGGAGTGCAATTGTAAAAAAGCTGACTGAATCACTGTGATGTAGGGGAAGAATGCTGTTGTTTCTACTGAGTAGAAAATAGGGGTTCAGGGGTCCTGGGTTCTAGTAAAAGAGGACCAGAGTCTCCACTACTGGGGCAGAGAATGGGGAAGAGAAGACCTGCTTAGGGTTCTGAGAAGAAAAGGGTGCACAAATCCAGAGTTCGCAGATATGGCTGTGGTATGCCCAAGACACAGCCTGTAAGATCACCCCCATCATTCCCAAACACTGTAGGGTCTAGAATTTGAGGAGATGAGGAGTCAACAGCAGCAAGCAGCTAGCACACTGGGAGGGGCACAAGTGGCTGATGGTACCTGAGGGGTGCCCAGAGACACAGCAATGCTGGAAAAGTTCCATTGAAACTTACGTATCTGAGCTGCCCCTCAGCCCTGCAGTTAAGTCAGCATGTCTGCCCCAGAGCCCAAGCCAAATACTTTTACAGATGCTCCATATGGGTAAGTGAAATGCCACACTTCCAGAGCAAGGTTTGGTGCCCCAACTCCCAATTGCAAGTTAAACAAATCAGTGTCCCATTGCAGGAGGAAAGTCAGCAGTCCCTCAGGAGCTTGGGGTGAGCTACAGAGATGAGCTCCAGGGACAGCCTCCTAGAAGCCAGGCCTGTCCACCCCTCCATGAGGGCCTATAAGCAGCCATTCTTGGGGCTCACAGGCAAAGACACATGCTTTGTTTCTAGAAGATCAGCAGCAAAAAGCCAGAATGGTCTGGTGACTGATGTACTGAAAAATATCAAATCTTTGTAAAACCACATTACAGTCCAACTCTTGTTCTGTGTTCACTCTGTTCTGTTTCACAGTTGTGTGGGAAAAAAAAAAGTGTAGCAAATACAAGAACCTCCCTGTTATAACTTCTGTAGCCCCTGTCATTCTTGCCAAAGTAGTATTCCAAACCTCATGTTCTCTAGTTTCATATTCTGATTTTGTATTAGTTTTTCACATTACTTCTCTTTTATAATTTATTCTTTTAAATTTCATTTTACATTCCAACCACAGTTCCTTCCTACCCCTCCTCCCTCCTCCCTTGCCTCTCCCTTGCCCAGCCCCAGTTCACTCCTCCCCATGGATAAGGACTCCCATGAAGAGTTATCAATAGGTTGGGGCAGGGCCAAGCTCCTCTCCTATGCATTAAGGCTAAGCATGGCATCCCACCATAGGGAATGGGTTCCAACAAGCTCATGTACCAGGTTTGTGTCTTGGTCCTACTACCAGGGCCCCCTCAGATAGTCACAAGCTTCACAACTGTCTACCACATAAAGAGAATATTGCCTATTTTTTATGAAAAGTTCTAGTGTTTGGTAATTTCATGCATGGATACAATGTGTTTCATTCAAACCCTCTCCTATTTCCTGCCCTCTGATTTTGTCCCTAACCCTCCTCACCACCTCAAACTCATGTTCTCCCTCTCTCCCTCTTAATTCCTTTCTCTCTCTCTCTCTCTCTCTCTCTCTCTCTCTCTCTCTCTGAATCTACTTAGTCCTGCTAAATTGGGCCAGGTGAGGAACAAGCTACTGGAGCGTAGGTAGCCTCTCAGAGTCCGTATCTGAAGAAAACTGACTCTCCTTCCTCTAGTTGCCAGTAACTCCTCAGCTAGTAGTGGGACTTTGGACCTTCCCCAATCTTGGTGGGATTTTGGCTGGCTTAGGTTTTAGATATCTGCTTGTAGTCATAGTCCCCATGAGTTCATGTTTGAAATGGTACATTTATGTCACACCACACATTCCACAACCTCTGATTTAATAAAGAATTAAATCTTTCCACTCTTCTTCCATGGTGATTCCTGAGTCTTGGGAATGGGAAGCATGAATGAGACATCTCATTGAGGACCAAGCATTCCCAAGTATCTTAATCTGTCCACACTGACCAATTGTGGGTGCTTGTATTCATTAACCATCATCTTCTGCAGAAAGAAGCTTCTCTGATGAGGAGTAGAAGATGGGCTAGTCTATGTGTGTAATAATACTTCTGGGACAGTTCATTGCTATGTCCATTTAGTAGAATAAAAGCATCGCATTCTCCCCAAAGGATCTATGATCTAATGGGCCATGAGTTCTTGGCCCAGTTAACAGTACCACGTATGAATTTTTATTGGAAAAAACCAGAAATGTAGTTGATTATCCTTCACACTGTTTCTCCAGTGGGCAGATCAATAGTTATTGCAGCTTGTGGAGTTCACATCTGGGTAAGACAGCCAAGTACTTTTCTCCAACAGTAAGATGCACAGCACCTTCCAGCACTGTGAAAGGTAGCCAGAAGGATGAAGCTTCCCAGACTCTACCAGCTTGACTTCTCCATGTCCTATGACTCAAGATGTGGCATCTTCAGAAATAGGCTTACATCAAGTTTTAGAGGTTAGCCAAGAGCAAAGATAATAGCCAGTAATGTTTAGGTGGTCCATTGAATAACAACACAAAGAGAGATAACCCTGGGTTATTTGTTTGATATCCTACGGTGTCTAGGGAGGCACTGCTCCCACTTCATTGTATAAATTCATTTATACTTTAAAGATATGTATATATCATAGGACACTTCCACAATAGGCTTCTACATGCCATTTCAAACCTCTTTAGGGTTAGTTATCCCTTCCCATACTCCCTCTTCTAACCTGACCTACCACCTTCTACCACACCTAATCCTTTCTGGTCCATTATTCCCCTTCATACCTCCTGTTTGGTATCAGCCACCATTGGAAATACTGGCCCTATGGTCACTTTCTAGTTTCCTGGCTACTATTGGTACTACAATTTAAACATATTAATATCAAGAGTTGAAGTAGGGGCTATCTGTATATGAGAGAACCTATGTAGTTTGTCTTTTGAGGTCCGTGTTACTTCATTACCTGAAAATTTCAGGAATGAATTTTCTGAGAAATATTCTATTGTGTATAGGCACCATATTTTCATTATCCATTTACCTAGGCTATTTTTATTGCCTCATAATTATGAACAAGCAGCAATGAAAATAGGTGAGCAGGAATCTCTGTATGTAGTAGGATACAGTCCTTTGCGTAGATCTATTTGAAGCCTTTTGAGTAACCTCCATATAGATTTTCATAGCTGCAATACCAGATTTGTATTTCCATTAACAGTGAATAACTGCTCAATATTTCCCCTATCCATGACAGGTTTTGTTGTAATTTTTCTTGCCCAATTTAAATGGGGTAGGATGAAAGCTCAAAATAAACAGCTTAATGTGCATTTCCCTAATAACTAAGGAAATTGGACATTGGAAAAATATTTCTCTACCATTTGTCTGTCTTCTTTGGAAAACTCTGTTTAGTTCCATAGCAATTTATAACTGAATTGATTTCTTTGGTATTTTGAGTTTTTTATTGTTGTTGTATATTCTAGACTTAAACTCATTGTCAGATCTATAGCTGATAATTTTTTTCTTAATCTGTAGGCTTCCTCTTCATTTAAATAATGGTATCCTTTGCTGTACCTA